AATATGTTCATTCATTTGAATGATTAATAATTTTTAATCTAAACTTTTAAAAATAATTTTAATGTTGTGTATGACAATTGGCTTTTCTACTCCAAGTCTCTAATAGAGACTTGATTGAACAAGAGTATACTACAGTATTTTAATTGTTATTAATTTAACATGTTGACGACTTTTCTTATACCCTTTGACTGAGTATATCATATTATTAATAAATCTGCAAAACGAGTTGATTTTGTTGTTTCGATATCACATTTAAATTATTTGATTAAATAATAGATATATTCCATTATTATAATTAAAATAATAAACAAGATAAAATAAATATCTCGAATTATATAATTAATTAATATAAAAATAATAAAGAAGAATTCATTAAAGTAAATGATAACTCGGTTTATAAGAATAAATGCATTAAATATATTAATAAATTTTCAATATTAATATCATGTGAGAAAATCTGTGCTAATATTTTTAATTACAAAATTACAACAATTTTATTAAATTATTTTAAGTTTTAAAATAAATGTATTAAATGTTTAAAATTATTTGTTAAATTATAAATGTAATTTAGACAGTAATATCTTATTGAGCCTATGCGACATAGTATTTGACATTTGTTTATAAAGCATCTTGGTTACCTAGATTTGTAATATTATTTAAATATTAAATCATAACATTTATTAAAAAATAATTTGTTTAAAATTTAAGGTCAAATTATAGTTAATGTAGTTTAAAATTTATAACACAATAAATGAAGCATATGGATAAAAATACAGTAAATAATCAATTTATTTATAGAATCATTTTAGTTATTATTGGGTAAACACAATAATTCTTACATACATAAAACATTCAACACATTTGTTTAATTTTTGATATAATAATTATAATATACGGGCCATTAATTGTAATTTATTATAACATAAATATAAAAACACTATATATTTGCCTACAGAATAATCATGGAATAAAATAAATCATAAATGTAATAATAATGTGAATAAATTACCAAAAGTTATATAACTATAGCGAAAATTAAACATAAAAAGTTGTTTTACCATAAGTCAAAAGTATTGTAAGGGCGAGTATAGGGCGACAGCAGTGGCACACAGTGTGAGTGCTGTGCAAACAGTGCAGTCAACACAACTCACACATTGAAAACAGTGTACAAAACGCCGGTATCTCTCGTATAGCGTGTGAGAGACCACACAATTCAAGCCATGAATTAAATGCCGTTCAAAGTTGTGACTAAACTTTGAACACAAAACAAAAGTTTATTAATTGATTGAAAAGTTTTAAAGTTTTTTTTGTGGTTTTTATTTTGTGAGCGATTGTGAGAGTGACTGAAGAGGAAAGCGGTGTCTGAAGAGGAAGTGGTGTCTGAAGTGGAAGCGGTGTCTGAAGAGGAAGTGGTGTCTGAAGAGGAAGCGGTGTCTGAAGAGTCTGTGGATATAGTGGTAGTGACCATCCGATGGCGCACAAGAGGCCCGACCAATGCGTGGAGCACTCGTGTCGACTCAATAAGTGTCTTCGGGAGACGGATTACGTGATGGCCAGATGTGACCAACACTTGCAGGCGATGATCCAGTGTTGCCGCGAGTGGGGCCACACCGGGAAGGCCTTCAGCTGCGAGGGATTCATGTGGATGTTTAAGGATGAGTTCACACCACCCGCTGCTGGTGGTGGTGGTGCTGGTGGACAGTCGCCCACTCCTGATGGCGGCACTGGTGGTGATGGCAAAGACAATAGGCCGCCATAATAAGTGGTGATATGTTGTGTTTTAGTGGTCACTTTGAATGCCGTGTGATTTACACGTCACTTCTTCTGTGCCTTTGGTTTCAGTGATGAGATGTGTTTTAATTGTCGTTTAATTTTGTTGTAGTTTTAACTTTTTTCAGTGTTTTGTTTCTCAATAGATATTGTAATTTATCTCTAAAAGTAGTTATAATAGTAATAAATAAATGAATTAGTAATTGAATGTGAGTTTTGTTTGGTTTAATATTGTATTTAATAATTGGTATTTAAATGCAGTTTAAAATTATTTTTTACCATAATTTATAAGACAAGTGTTTGAGACATGATTTTTACCGCATATAACTATAGTTAACATTTTTGGTGATTTAATGAACAATTAATTTACAGATATTAATATATTTAATGTATAAGTTTATAATAGACAACAAATGATATGCTTTCAGATAAAACAGATTAAAAGGTAGAGAAGAGTTAAACAAAGATATAGTCATCGACTGTCTTCTCGAGAGCGATGTCCTCCTCTTCGTTGTTGATTCTGACCACCAGTTTGTCTTTGGTTGCCATCGATCGGTATATATCGTCCATTGAAGTCACTCTAACGCCATTGATATGCGTTATCACATCAAACCTTTCCATACCTTTCCTGTCAAATGGTGTACAAAGAAAACAAGTCATTACAAGAATATATGAGATAATATGCTGTCATCGATGGTAAACAGACTTTTCTGCGCTCGAGTTCTTTGAGAAATTCCAGATCAAAGCTCCGCAAACGTCTGATATGACCACAACTTTCACCTCCGAGTCCATGGCCTGAAGCCTTTTCTCCTCCTCAGGACCTATGGCTCCGAACCAATACATTATAAGTCCAAACGACTTCTTCGGCTCTTTTGTCTCGTCTTTAAGTTTGTTTTTAATGGCTTTTACGTAATCTTTAAATGTATTGAAGAGTAAAACGTGTTTAAATGGTAAATATAACAAGTATTTTTGAGATCAATTCATACTTAAGACATCCCTATAATGAATGCAGAAATTGATGTTCAGCTGATGGTGAAGACAATTGATGCCAATCACGTGACCTTTGGGTGTGACGAGTGCGGCGCCCAAACAGTTGACGCTAACGTATGCCGTGTGTTGAATGTAAGCGTAATTGCGGTCAACGGGCCTCAGGTATGTGTCCGTCAGCTCAGAGCCGTACCGACGCTCACTACTGATCAGCCCTTCGGCCAAATATTGCATACCATAGCGTGGAGTCACGACAGACATCACCGGATCGCCCACATTAATTGTAGAGCCCGTGGCGTACGTAACGACTGGCCATTTCTCTGCCCTCTCCTCTAACTTAATAATTGCCATATTTTTGTCGCCATTGATGTCCACCACTCGACCGATGCGTCGGCTTTTATCGGACATCTCGACCGACACCTGAGAGTATTTCATGACACCCGAAGCGGCCGTAACCACCAGACCCTCGTCGTCGGCGATGAATCCGGAGCTTAATATTTTGGACTCTCCTTCAGGGTATGTGTCCGCACGGGTAGTACGCGGTGCGGGTCTTATGGCCACAAACGCCCGGAACCACTCGTCGTTTATTTTGTGTCCGTTAGTTAAGCGAACACTTCTTAGAGATAGTAAATGTCGTAAACGATTGAATGACTGGAAGTGTTGACGTTTTTGGCGCTGAAGATAGTAATTGAAACCAACTATATTTAAGAGTAACGGAATGCTATTTAATAATTAAAATGTGAGAGAGTTGTAGTGTTTTGTGAATTCATTAATGTAATTATTTTTGAATCTGATCTACCATTTAATTTCAAACCTATGATTGAGTTTTATGTACGACTTCTTCAGTAAAGACATCGTTTGTTATCAATGAATACAGAATTGGATTTAACTAAACACTAGTTGAAAGTTAAATTTTAAATTGCTTTTGACTGATATCTCGCACAAACAGTTCAACACTTATTATTTGAATTAAGTTAAAAATTTAAACAAATAATACAAAATTACATAAATTATATGGACTATCAATGTATAGATTAAGACATTTGTTGATCACAAACAGCCATCGGTTGATATAAATATTATCACATTTTAATCATTTTGATTAAAAATTAATTTTATGTACATTTTGTAAATAGTGCTGCGATTCTGGTATCGATTCCTATAATTGTGAGAAATAATTATGGTTTTCAACGCAACACCAAAATTGAATCACAATTTTGTGCAAACAATTCATTTAAACAACATTTGCCTCTAAGAAGAGCTCATATGAGTGATGGACACCAGAAGACAGTGAAACAGGTATTTGACGAGTCGCTGCCATCAGTGGTCAGAACTCTTCAGTACTCGAAAACAAACGCCAGGAATCTGTTGGACATCGGAACCGGTTTTGTGGTCACCGAAGGGGACGAGACATTAATACTGACTAATTCTCATTGCGTTAACGATTGTGCGGATATAACCATCAAATTTAGTCACAAATTCAATACATCTGTACTAATAGTGGGACAGACGGACAGTCAGATGATTGACTCGATTAGGGGTCGTGTGATATACGCTGAGCCGCAGATGGATTTGGCACTGATTCGCATCCCAGCCCTCAATCGTAAGGCTGTGTCGGCGTTGAAACTGTCCGACTCTGAGCCCATAGAGGGTCAGCCCGTTGTCATTGTTGGCCATCCAAAGCAGTTGGAGAAGTGTCTCAATACGGGTGTAATCACATCCCCGGCGCGCAAAGGGCTGACAGAGTTCGGCGAGACTTTGATTAAGTCGGACCAGACATTCATTAGTCACACGGCGTCCACTCGCGAGGGTTTCTCCGGTAGTCCTGTACTCGATATGAGCGGTCAAGTGGTGGGCATTGCATTCGCGCGGCAATTCAACGCCAACGCAGCCATACCTGCCATCGAAGCCAAGAGTTTGTATTTCTTTATTAGATTTAATGATTGTTTTTATTTATTTTTGTTGTGTTTTTTTTTCATTTAAATATAGAGTTTATCGCAAGAGGTCTTGAATTTGAGAGACAGAAAGAGACGGAAATCAAAACCCTTTTCACCACAAAGAAGTCACTCGGAGTCATGTTATATAGATATCCATCTCTGGACGGGTTTATAGTGTTTTCAGCTGGAAATAGGCCCTCAAATGTTGAGTATGTGATTGACATTTATATGTTTAAAATAATTTTAGCGTAAAAATAGTTTCAAATCATTTTTCTAACTTTTATATCAATAGAAATGTATTGAAAAAGTTTGATGTAATAACACATATAAACGGCACACCATTTGAATCCATACGTGTTATGACAGACGCCATGAATGCGCTGACAGATGACCAGGAGTTACGGCTCTCAGTGTTCAGGAAAGAGACGGATCCGCAACACAAAGAGGTTAACAAATCCGTCACAATCCATGTCAGGCCACACATCTCAGGCCACAGTCACTGTTTTGTGGGCTAATGTTTGTTTTACGGCTGATCTTTATTTTAATACTAAATAGTTTTAAAACTTTAATTACAAATACACTTGAAATGAATATCTGTGAACACGTTATCTGAATTGAAATATATTTGTTTGAATTTTCAAAATTATTAATAAACTTTTATTTCAACGATTTATTTTCAATTAACCAAACATTGAAACAGAAATGATGGATAGATTCACATCAGACATATTTGAAGAGTGTTTTATACAGATATACAAATAAATTACATTTTTAAATATTGAAATAAAATATTTAATAGTCAATGAAATTTTGTCAAAACTTTTCTAAAGCTTATAAACTATTTGATTAAAACACAAATGATTTACAAATAATAATATGATATATAATGGGAAAGAATTGACGATAAAAACGGGACTTTTTCTCAATGAGACTCGACTTTGAAATACAGGGAAAATACAACAATTATTTGGGAGCGGGAACGGGATCGGTGCTTTTGACTGATATCTCGCACAAACAGTTCAACACTTATTATTTGAATTAAGTTAAAAATTTAAACAAATAATACAAAATTACATAAATTATATGGACTATCAATGTATAGATTAAGACATTTGTTACTCACAAACAGCCATCGGTTGGTATAAATATAATCACATTTTATTCATTTTGAATTAAAATTGATTTCATGTACATTTTGTAAATAGTGCTGCGATTCTGGTATCGATTCCTATGATTGTGAGCAATAATAATGGATTTCAACGCAACACCAAAATTGAACCACAATTTTGTGCAAACAATTTATTTAAACAACATTTGCCTCTAAGAAGAGCTCATATGAGTGATGGACACCAGAAGACAGTGAAACAGATATTTGACGAGTCGCTGCCATCAGTGGTCAGAACTCTTCAGTACTCGAAGACAAACACAAAGAATCTGTTGGACATCGGAACTGGTTTTGTGGTCACCGAAGGGGACGAGACATTAATACTGACTAATTCTCATTGCGTTAACGATTGTGCGGATATAACCATCAAATTTAGTCACAAATTCAATACATCTGTACTAATAGTGGGACAAAAGGACAGTCAGATGATTGACTCGATTAGGGGTCGTGTGATATACGCTGAGCCGCAGATGGATTTGGCACTGATTCGCATCCCAGCCCTCAATCGTAAGGCTGTGTCGGCGTTGAAACTGTCCGACTCTNAGGCTGTGTCGGCGTTGAAACTGTCCGACTCTGAGCCCATAGAGGGTCAGCCCGTTGTCATTGTTGGCCATCCAAAGCAGTTGGAGAAGTGTCTCAATACGGGTGTAATCATATCCCCGGCGCGCAAAGGGCTGACAGAGTTCGGCGAGACTTTGATTAAGTCGGACCAGACATTCATTAGTCACACGGCGTCCACTCGCGAGGGTTTCTCCGGTAGTCCTGTACTCGATATGAGCGGTCAAGTGGTGGGCATTGCATTCGCGCGACAATTCAACGCCAACGCAGCCATACCTGCCATCGAAGCCAGGAGTTTGTATTTGGTGTTAGATTTAATGCTTTGATTTTTATTTATTTTTGTTGTTTTTTTTTCATTTAAATATAGAGTTTATTGCAAGAGGTCTTGAATTTGAGAGACAGAAGGAGACGGAAATCAAAAACCTCTTCACCACAAAGAAGTCACTCGGAGTCATGTTATATAGATATACATCTCTGGACGGGTTTATAGTGTTTTCAGCTGGAAATAGGCCCTCAAATGTTGAGTATGTGATTGACTTTTATATGTTTAAAATAATTTCAGCGTAAAAGTAGTTTCAAATCATTTTTCTAACTTTTATATCGATAGAAATGCATTGAAAAAGTTTGATGTAATAACACATATAAACGGCACACCATTTGAATCCATACGTGTTATGACAGATGCCATGAATGCGCTGACAGATGACCAGGAGTTACGGCTCTCAGTGTTTAGGAAAGAGACGGATCCGCAACACAAAGAAGTTAACAAATCCGTCACAATCCATGTCAGGCCACACATCTCAGGCCAGAGTCTCTGTTTTGTGGGCTAATGTTTTTTTGGTTAATCTTTATTTTAATACTAAATAGTGTTAAAACTTTAATTACAAATACACTTGAAATGAGCATTTGTGACATGTTATCTGAATTGAAATATATTTATTTGAATTTTCAAAATTATTAATAAATTGTGTTTTATTTCAACGATTTATTTTCAATTAACCAAACATTGAAACAGAAATCATGGATAGATTCACATCAGACATATTTGAAGAGTGTTTTATACAGATATACAAATAAATTACATTTTTAAATATTGAAATAAAATATTTAATAGTCAATGAAATTTTGTCAAAACATTTCTAAAGCTTATAAACTATTTGATTAAAACACAAATGATTACAAATAATAATATGATATATAATGGGAAAGAATTGACGATAAAAACGGGACTTTTTCTCAATGAGACTCGACTTTGAAATACAGGGAAAATACAACAATTATTTGGGAGCGGGAACGGGATCGGGAATAGTGCTCTGAAGTTTAGTGCCGTATATGAACTCCTGGGTTACCGTACGGTTGGGTGCGTTGGGATCCAGTTTCATACTCCCGGGCTCCGGGATCTCCGCCATCGACACCACCTTCTCTACGGGTGCGCCCACTTTCTTGTCCACGGGTTTGGCTTTATTTGGTGTCCGTATTGTGTATACAAGATATGCCAATAAAACAACGGCCAGTCCTGTGAACACCAGTATCAGTACAATCACTATCATCTCAACCGATTCCATGGCTCCTGTAGTTTGGAAATTATTTGTACTTTTATTTGATTAAAATATGTTTAAAGTGTTATTATTTGATTAAACCTTTTCTCAATTGTAATTTTTTTCAATTTGTGATCACTTTTCAAGAAATATCTGTAATTGGATTTATGTACAAAATTTATAATCAGTTGTTATCCGTTTGAATTCACTATTTATTTGATTTAAGAAAAATTGTTATAAATACGAGAAACAATCAAATCAATCAAATGTTGACTACAATTGAATTTCAATATAAAACAAAATCAACGGACTTTGATATTTAAACTCAAATCTCAATTCAACGCTTAAATAAGACTTCAAATCAGTTTAAGACCTAATTTCTTGAGACAAAGACAGATAGGAATGAGTGAAAGAAAGCCGGGATTTTGGAGACTACAGGAGTCGTTGTCGGCGCCGGCGATAGACATGCCTTTCGATCAGAAGGACATCGAATGGAGCGAAGAATCGATGGTTAAAATCCGCAAATATATGGAAATGGCATCGATTGGAGACCCGATGATCGCCGACACGACCGCCGAGTCTTTCGACGAGTATTATGACATGTATTTCGGCAAATCGTCCACAGATTCGACATCGAAGTCAGTCATCTCCGTAACCACTGATGAAAGCACACCAATGGCTCTCTCGAAGGACACCTTTGGCATCGGCACCGAGTCGTCGGATGTGACCACTGATATCGGATCCAATGACTCGACCGATACATCAGTTTTGAGTGTTTGCACGCAATCACTCGATGACAACAGCGATGGTCTGTCGATGACGTCCTCAAAGTCTGTCATATCTGTGGAAACCGATAGAACCCACTCATCGATGAGACTCTCGAAGAACTCATTTATGACCGAAAGGACCGACAATTCGATAACCGATTCAATCGGTTCCAACTCTTCGACCGTTGAGTCCATTATGAGTCCGCAGACATCCGGAAGCGTTGAGTCGATGGCCTCTGCAGACAGTGGTTTGTGTGTCACCATTAGGACCGCCGCCTCTACTCCTGAGCACAGAATTCAGAAAAAGCAACAAAAGCTAAAAGAGGCTAAAACTGCTGTACAAATGGTGACCAAATGGAGAACTGATCCAAAGAATTGGAAGAAATCCTTCTCAGAGGACACCCGTCGGCGTCGAAGTCCCGGAGATATTGAGTACAAGAATACCAATGAAAGTGAAGGCAAAGACTCGGATTCATTGAGTGATACAAAGCCGTCGGTAATGAACACTTCCAGCGGTTCTTTTGAGTCGTTTTCTTCAACGGACGAGAACTGGAGTAATGATCGCACTGTCATCGCAGCCGATGTCAAGTCTGGTCACGAGATGCCAGTTCTCGTGTCCACAGATTCTGACTGGACTTCAGATGACATGACATCCAATGAGACTTCAAGTGAGACATCGATGGAAACGATTGACGAGATTTTGGATCAAAAGAAAAGTGATTTCAACGAAACTAAAGACCAAATATCAATCGCCAGTGAAAACAAATGCGAGAATTCAATGCCTCCACATGTGGTCGAAGAGATGTCCAACACTTCTCCCTCTTTGTTGAAATCGGTGTTAAATCCGAGCGAATGGCGGAAACACTTCAGGTTTGGTTCCCAGAGAAGGGATAACTTATTTGATCCGTAAGTGAATCCACTTTATATATGTTTCATATAAACTAATAACTCATTGATAACACCGGTGTTTAGATCGTCTTCGGTGTCAACCAATGGCTCAGAATCTGATCCCGAATCACAAATTTCAAGAACTGACAGCTCGTCTCCGTCTTCAAGCCTTATGAGCGCTTCTTCTTCCGGATCTGATGTCGATTTCAAATAAATTTATGTCATTTTTGTTTTGAATTTTGTTACATTTCCTAAAAACATATTTTTCAAAGTCTTATTCAATTTATTGACATTTATTTCTATTTAAAATCGATTAAAATCTTATGTAATGTTTAATAATTTGTGTTTTAGTTTTGTAATTAACAAATAATTTAAAGTATTTTAAACTTTCAAATGAATTACAACTGTTTCAATTACAAAGTGAAATATCTTTTATTTAACAATTTATGAACAAATTTGCAAATGAAATGCGATTATCACTTAATGGATGAGTCTATGAATGAAATGATGTGATAATCACTGATCGGATCCATCGGTGGAGTAATCGCTTGATTCCGTGAAATCGCTCTTCATTTCAGAGACAAACGCGTCGTTTGTATAGAAGAGCACAGCGTTTGGCACAAAGCGTTTGAATAGTGTTTCAAATAAATACCAATCCATTGATAGGAAAGCATTGATTTCGTCCCTATTTTTCGCACCATTTGATGGACTCTTGAGTTGCGAGTCGTCGAAGATATCGAAGAATGAGTTCACTTTCTCCATGAATTTGTCGCCATTTTCATCGCGGATCAACTGTTTGGTGATATTTCGACCCGTTTTCCAGTCTATTCGACAACCCGTGCGTCGGATCGGGTAGTAGTAGTCATCGAAGTGATTGCCGTTGTCTTCGGTCGGCCGTGGATTCGGTCCGAAACCCAATTCACACGATTTGGTGAGCGTTTTGTTTGCGAAGAAGTCGTTGGTTTCAAACTGAAAGTTGAGTACAATCTTCACGACAGGACTCTCGTCGGCGGCAATGATTTCAACCCCGATGTCCATCAGATGGAACAGCGGTTCGTCGTCTTGAGGTTCAATCCAAATACTGATTTCGTTCACAGTTTGCAGGGCTTTGAGCCAAAAGCCGGGAATACCTTTGATGTCGACCACAGGTCCGGCCATTTGTGGCGACCCCTGACCGCCCGTATCAGCCGTTGAACTGTAGGCCGACTTTATGGCCGACAGATCGCAGTCCGAGTCCGTGGGCTCGACGTCACCGACAATTATTTGTCGCCGCCTTTCGTCGATCGACCGGTAAATGTGGTTGTATTTGGCCATCAGTTGGAACCGTTCGCGGGCTAACTGTCCCTCGAGTTCGAGTCTCTTGAAGTGAAGTGTCATTAAAGCATTCACCCAATGGTTGTCTTCCACCACTTGATCCGCATTCCTTTGCGAACAATTTAACGCTTGTTTTGTTTGATTCAAAGTTTTTTCTGACATTTTTCTTGTTTCTCAAGAGATTATAAGATAATAAATATTTGTTTAAATTTTGTCGTTATTTTCCGTTGAAATATATTTTCAAATAAATGACATTTAATTTAAATATTAAAAATTGTTTTAACAATTGTCAGTAATATTGGAGAAATAAGTTTTTAATACTTGTAGGTATTTGTTATCAATATAAATGTCAATTTAAATATTGATTATTGTTTTAAAAATACTATATGTTTTAGTTTTTTGTATACTTTAGGTTCAATTGATTCAATACTGTATTTATATTTATTAATTAAGCATGAATTTAGTAAAAATTATGTTTGACTTAATTTTCTTCAGTTACATAAATATATTTTTCATTTAATGTGGATTTACTGTGACTTTAGTTTGTAGTTAAATCTATTTTGACTTTAATTTCATAAACTGGTCATCAGTTGTAATGTTGAGACAATCAAGAAGTCATAGCTAATGCTATGTTAGCGTCATTTTAATTAAACAAATTATTGCAATTAATACCAAATGAAAAAACCATATTTGCAAACAAATGAAACACAAAATTTTAATAGTTTATAGAAATTAATTAAATATCATTGAGTTTTGATTTTTTTGTGCCACAATGAATATGGTAAAAGTATGTATCAACACTATTTTACTAGTGCTGGTGCTGTCGGCTCAGACCTATTGTCAGCGGCAACCCGGGCCAGGGCTGGGTAAGAGCCCGCAGGCAAGGCGTCCAAACGGCCAAAACAAAGGCCGAATGCGGAGCTTTGATGGCGACGACGATTTCGGCGATGGCTTCGGCGGCGGCGGAGGCGGCGATTACCCGGACTACGGCTTCGGCAGCGGTGGTCTCGTCCCGCAGAGTCAGCCCCGGAAGAAGGCGTTCAAAGACCCGCGCTTTCGGGACCCGAACTACGGCCAGATGAAGGTCAAAGAGTTGCCTGTGTTTGCGCTGACAGCGTCGGACGTGGGCGCCGGCAGTGATATCGACCGATTCTTTTGGCACGTCGACCAACAGTCGGCTCAGGAGGACAACCAACGAGAGCAGAGGCGCCGTATGAAACACCAGCGACGGATGCAACGACTGCAACAACAGCGCGAGTGGCGCCGCACCGCCCGAGTGCAGGGTTTCGCGGCGGCGCAGAGTCAGGCGCAGAACTACGCGGCCGCCCAGAGTCAGGCTCAGGCCCAGAATTACGGCACCCGTCGCGGCGCCGCCCCTCAGAGTCGAGCCCAGCCGGGAAGGGGTCGATCCATTCTGAGAGACGACGGCTATATCGAGTCGCGTCCGGGCGAGCGGCCGAGTATTCCCCTGCAGACAGCTGTGCCCGATATACCGCAGGATGTGCTCGACTACTACGAGAAGTCGCGTCAGAATGACCTGCGTTTGGCCGAAGCCATACAGAGGCGCGAAATGGAGAACTTTATGCGAGAGAACCACGAGAGGAAGCATAGGTTGACGCGACTGCCCAACGATGGCTTCAAAGAGGTCGCCACAGAGATCGGCGAACCGCAGGTCAACCGCCGCAAAGGCAGTGGACTCGACGATGAGATGGACGACGACATCCGTTCCTACAGTTTGATCAAAGAGGGAGACGTGAATGTCGACCAAAACGATGGTATGAAGAAGAATAGGAAGAATGTGTCGTTGGCTCAGAGGAAAGCGCAGGCGAAGAAGAAACAGTGATTTCCATTCATAATATCCTTATTTTGCATATTTAGTTTAAGTTTGTATTTTATTATAATTAATCATTTAATAAAATGTAAATTTTTACTTTTTAAAAGTGTTTAGTAATTTTTGATTGAATTATGGTTGTCTTGTTGCAAATGTACCTGGTATAAATAGAAAATAATATACAAATTTGTATAGTTATTGTAAACTAACTTCATTTAAATTTACTGTTACAAAACGTGTTATTACTAAATGTGCCATATTAAATTAAATTGTTTACTATAACGAGGTTTTTACAAAAGCATGGATTCCTGTAATTAATTGCAATATAGGGTTACCTTTGAAAACATATTTGCAAAACAATTTTAATGCGATATTTAAACAAAACCTAAAATCACAAACTAATCGCTGGAAAAACATCTAAAATACAAAATAATTTGCAAAAAAATTGGCCACAAATGCAATCATTAAAGCGATTTAATGTTTTATTAGTGGCTTTAATCATAGCATTAAGTTATGGTAAGTTTAATACAAATACAAATTAATTTAAAAATTACATTAAATGTTTGCATTATTATAACAGCAAATGCCGGCTCAGAGAAAGAATCGGACGACTCGGTAGTGCCCGACGACCCGCCGCCCGAAGAGCCGGCAGAGGGTGAACAGAGACAACTGTCGGAGTCGGCCATCGCTGAGTACCTGCAGGAACACCCGGAGGTGAAACAGATGCCGACCAGATTCCGGGCGCCCACCAAAATGAAACACGTTTTCAATAAGTTCGGTGATGTGGTCGCTGTTCCCGATCCCAACGCCCGGCCCGAGAAGCCCAGAGCCGCCGAGGCTAAGGGCAAGGCTAGTAAGCAACAGTTACGGCCGTATCCGCCGCCACCATTTGGCTATCCGTTCCCCTATGGCTACGGAAACCCTTTTGCATACCCTATGAATCCAATGATGGGATTTAATCCAATGATGTCTTCGCAAACCGGCGATGGACAACAAGATCAGCCGGGAATGTTTCCGTTTTTGGGCCAATCTATTGGTCAACCTATGGACCAAACTGTGAGTCAGCAGTTCCAGCAGTCGGTCCCACCCGGAGCTCAGATATATAATATGCCGCCACCGATGTTCCCGTTTGCCGGCTTTTCACCGTATAATTACCAATCAAATGATACTTTGCAATCGTCACTACCCACCGGCGCTTTCCCACCCCTTCCCCCTATGAGCCAATACCCGGTGCCCACAGGTATGAGTTTATTGCCATCGCATGCGAGAGGACTCACACCCCAGACATCCACACAATTACTGTCGCCTCAAGAATACGAAAAACTTATGAAATTACCCAAACCTGAAGAGCCCGGACCTGACGATCAGGTATTCAATAATAACAATCAGTAAATAACACTTTTGCTAAACATGTTGTCAATGAATACCACACAGAATAGGGGCGAGAATGAGGTGAGCGATAAGATGGCACACGTCCTGCAAATGGTGACCAATAATGGCACAGAAGTCGCGACCAAAAGTGAAGCCAACGACGCGGCGGCGGAGGCCGACCCATCCCAAGCCGACCCGACGGCACCCCAATTCCTGGTGAACGCCAACCAATTTCCAGTCTCGGCATTTGATCCGATGAACCCAATGGCACAACCATTCAACCCGTTTCAGTCGCCGCAGTCCTCTAACGGACTTCTTGTGGACAAGAATCGGATGCAATTCATACCGATGCCCGTCGGCCCCAACGACCAGTTAGGTATGGATCCAAACGTGTTGAGACAACTGGAGTCGGGTCGGGCGCGACTCGATATGGCCAACGCTCGGGTCATACCATTGCCGTTGAGCACAACAACCGAAGAGCCCGAACCGCTCACCGAATCGGACTCATTGGACGATAGGCCGGAACTGCCGGAAGTGGTTCTCCCGAAGCCGACGCCCAAACCTAAACCTAAGCCCAAACCGAAAGGTCGTAAACAACAACACCGGAGAGCGGGTCCCAAAAAACCCAAGTTTCTGATGAGAGCTCGACTCAACAATTTGCCCAAAAATGACGCGAAGGCCGGCAAAGGGAAGGAGTGGTGGACTAAACCGGCGCCCAATC